ACCCAGGAGGCGGAGGTTGCGGTGAGCCGAGATCGCGCCATTGCACTCCAGCCCGGGTAACATGAGTGAAACTCCGTCTCAAAAAAAAAAAAAAAACAGAATTATCAAAGAATTTTTCAACCACAGTTGTCCTCAGAAGAGCAAGGAGCAGTGAGATGATATCCAAGAAAGACTTAACTTTGCCTGGCTGGTCAGGCTTTCCTGAGGAAGTTGTATTGAAGATAAAACTTGAAAAATCATGGGGAGGGGGATAAAGGTGTGTGGGAGATGAGACTCCTGGTCAGAGAAAACAGAACTCTCTAAGGGAAGAAAGAGCCTTTGGTGTGGAAACTGGAAGGAGTTCATTAAAACTAGAGGAAGTCGGGCGGGGAACCTCTTACGCCTGTAATCCCAGCACTTTGGGAGGCCGAGGCAAGGCGGTTGGATCACTTGAGGTCGGGAGTTCAAGACCAGCCTGATCAACATGGAGAAACCCCATCTCTACTAAAAATACAAAATTAGCCGGGTGTGGTGGGGGCATGCCTGTAATCTCAGCTATTCAGGAGGCTGAGGTAGGAGAATCGCTTGAACCCAGGAGGCGGAGGTTGTGGTAAGCCGAGACTGTACCATTGCACTCCAGCCTGGACAACAAAAGCAAAACTCCATCTTAAAAAAAAAAAAAAAAATGGCTAGAGGAAAAGGAGTGGGACAGTGGCTTGAGATGCACAGCCAGATAGATCATGGAGGCCTGTGGACCATGCTTAAGTGTTTGAATTTAATTCTGAAAGTAAAGGGAATGCGAAGAAGGATAGTAAGCAGCGGGATGAAGGGACCAGATTTGTGCCTCTTTGGAGCTGATCATAGTCCCAAAAGACAAGCCCAAATGTTAAAATTCTGAAAGATAAAATTCCAAAGATATTTTGGGGAAAAAATTTAAATTCTTTAAAAGACATTTATTTACATTTTTCAGAGGGGATTTATTTGAGAAAAACATAAAACATGACAATACTTTATATACCACTTTAAACAGTAAAACAGGCAATAATAACATATATATTTTTGAAAACACGACAGCCTGGGCAGCAGCAACACCTGTCTCTACTAAAACAATGTGGTGCATGCCTGTAGCCCAGCTACTCAGATGGCGGAGATGAGAGGACCACTTGAGCCCTGGAGATGGAAGCTGCAGTGAGCTCTCATCACACCATCACACCACTGCACACCAGCCTGGGAAACAGACTGAGACCCTGTCTCAAAAAGAAAAAAAAAAAGATAATACTTCATAGGCAAATTTGCATAATAAAATAGACAATGATATATTTTTATTTAACAAACACGGGTATACTAACAGCAGTCACATAGGTGTAACAGTTAAGAGCAGACGAACCATATTCATAAGTAGGTCAAAAAGCAAAATGTGGCCGGGCGTGGTGGCCCATGCCTGTAATCCCAGCACTTTAGGGGGCAGAGGTGTGCACCAATATAGGGAAACCCTGTCTCTACTAAAAATACAAAACACTAGCCGAATGTGGTGGTGTGTGCCTGTAATCCCAGCTACTCAGGAGGCTGAGGCAGAAGAATCATGTGAACCCAGGAGCCAGAGGTTGCAGTGAGCGGAGATCATCCCATTGCCCTCCAGCCCATGTGACAGTGCAAGACTTCGTCACAAAAAAAAAAAAAAAAAAAAAAAGCAAAATGTATAAATGCATTTCACTATGGTTAGTTATTGTACCCAGCATTTTAATTGCAGTCATATGAAATGGTGGCAGACGACTCTGAGTTGAGGAGATCAATCAAAAACTATAATGAACTGGGTGCAGTAGCTCGCATCTGTAATCCCAGCACTTTGGGAGGCTGAGGCAGCTAAATCACTTGAGCCCAGGAGTTAGAGACCAGTGTGAGCAACATAGGGAGACCTCGTCTTTACAAAAGATGGAAAAATTAGCTGGTTGTGGTGATGCCCGCCTGGAGA